TGTGTGTGTGTGTGTGTGTGTGTGTGTGTGTGTGTGTGTGTGTGTGTCCTTGCAAGCACGGCATCCATGATGCACACTCAGAAAAGTTACAGGTGTAGAAGTTAGAAAACAACTGGTAGAAATGGCTTTTCTGCTCTCCCACTTGGATTCCAAGGATCAAGCTCAGGTAGCCAGTACCTTTATTCACTGAGTCATCTTGCTGTTTTGTTATTCAAAGCAGCAAGGGTTTTACCCTGTAGCCCAGGCCGGCCTTGAATTTGTAGGTGAGCTTCTTGCTTTAGGCTCCCAAGTGCTATGATTCCAGGAGTGTGCCAGCGCTCTTGGCTTGAGTAGTTGTGAGTGTACATAGAACCTGACAGTTGGGTTTGTTTACAGGTTGGATGGGAACAGCAGGACAAAGAGAAGTCTGAAAGAGCACCAGTAATTTCTAATGAGCTTGTGGCTAACCAGAACTTGTATTTACAGAGAGGCTCTGTGACCAGCCTTGGCTGTCTCACAGCTGTCTGTCTGAGTTTCTTGTCCAGAATCTCCAGCCCCTATGTGTATAGGAGTAAAGGAACTTTTCTTCATTTTTATCGAAATAAAGACTGGTGGGGCTGGAGAGCTGGCTCAATGGAGTTGCTTCTCTCCTCGAACTGTGGGTTCTAGGAGGGAACTCTGCTGTCAGGCTAGCACAGTCAGCACCTTTGCCCACTAAGCCCTCTCCTAGACCCAATGCAGTTCTCCTATGCCCGTCTTCTAGATCACCACTTCCTTCTTCAGAAACACCCACAATTAACAATTTCTTGTGAATTCCTCTTTGTAGACATAGGTAGGTCTATACCTTATATAGACTTGTTTGTCTCTCCCTCCCACAAACAATAACATTCTGTGACTGTTCTTTTACACTAATATGTAAAATGTGATAAATCCTAGAAAGCTTTTCAGATCATTATGCAAATAGAAATGCTAGCTAATCAGGACTGGATGCTCCCCTTTATGCAGAGACACTCTGAACATTCTTATCTCTCCAGCCTTTGCTA